GATAAAGATAGTAAACAGAACTGGCCCCAGTACTCAGTCCTGGGGAATACCAGTAGTTACTGGCCACCAGCTGAATTTAACTCAACCCTCACCACTGTCTGGGTTTGGCCATCCAGTCATTTTTTTCACCTAGCAAACAGTGCATCCATCTGAACCATGAACAGCCAGTTTCTCCAGGAGAATGCTGTGGGAAACAGTGTCAAAGGTTGTTCTGTATGTGTCACATGATGGCACACAAGATGATCTGTCTATGACCTTCCCTGGCACAGAGGTCAGACTGACAGGTCTGTAGTCCCCCAGATCCTTCTGAATCCTTCAACTGGGACCTCTCTGGTTAACCAGGACTGCTGGTAAATGACTGAGAGTGGTGAGCTCCTGCACCAGCTCCCTCAGTACCTTTCTGTGGATCCCAACTGACCACAGAGAACTGTATGTGTCTAAGTGGTGTGGCAGGTCACTGACCATTTCCCTTGGATTATAGGGCTTTCATTCTTTTTCCTGTTCCCATCTTCCAGCTCAGGTACCCAGAGAACAATGGGTCTTACTACTGGAGAGCTATTAAAGGGTTAAAAGATATTAACTGTCTCATCCATTTCCTCATCCTTTGTTATTATCTTTCCCCCTGCAACCAATAAAGGATGGAGACTACCCTTAACCCTCCTTTTTAGAGGGAAATTTATAGAAACATTTTTAAATTGCCTTTTACTGCAGGAGCCAAACTGTGTTCTAGTTGGGCTTTGGCCCTTCCAGTTTTCTCACTGCATAACCTCATAACATTCTTATACTTCTCTTTAGTATCCTGCCAGCAGTCTCCCTAAGATGATAAGCTCTTTTCTCTCCTGAATTACAGCCACAGCTGTTATCTGTTCAGCCAGGCTGGTCATCCTTTTATATTTCAGGCACAAAAAACCCCACTAATCTAGCTTGAACATGCAAGCTAGATATGGTGTTCCTCACTCCTACACAGACCAATACAACTTCATGTTTTTAGTGTCTTATTGACAACTAAAGAAAGCTGGCATATTATAATAGCTAAACTCAAAGCTTCAGTTTCACTTGCTACATGCACTGTGTGTATGAGCACTGGGGTGGATAGGAGTTTACTGGCTGCCAGTACCACATGAAAATACTAGAAGTATCTGTAAGAGTGAAAGATCTTTTTATAGATGAAAAGCTTTGATTGTTTGACATAACCATTTATGAGTGCTTGCTGTTTTCCAAAAGTCTTATGGCAGCTTCTGACTATGTTTTAAAATGTAATTTAAAATTTATTTACATTTTAAAGTTATTGAAAGCATATAGTATAGTGTTTATTCATAGTTTATTTGTCTTCTCGGAAATTCACTGGTTGTAAAGATATACTTGCTCATTTCTGAATTCCTGCCTGGCTACTGATTACCACAAGATAAATCAGTCCAGTCCAGGTCTCCTAAACAGGAGCCTAGATAGACTCATCTCTTTCTCACTCCCAGACTGCTAATATTCTGCTCACAACTAATATAATCACCAGTTTTATTAAATACTGTAATTAAGCAATTATATGAAAAGATTCTAAAATATTAAGTGACTAATCCTTTCCAGTGGTCGCTCTTCAATGGAAGCAGCAGATACTTTGGCTAACCAAAAGGGATGTGACATAACTCTGTTACTAGTCCTTGGCAATGGAGGCAATTTGATTTTTCTAGGAAGGGTATCTCCTCTGGGCCTAGGAACGGCCTAAAACTGAAAAAACTGTGTAGGATTTTGATTTAATTTTATCTTATATTTCAGTAGCATTTTATTGTAGTGTACTGAAGTGTTACTGTCTGTGCTTTAGAACAAGGAAGAGTGAAGCATGTTCTCTAACAATTTCCCTGCAAATTAGTGGTATTCCTCCCTATGAATGGTCTGTTTCTCCAGAGACAATATTACAGTATGTGGAGATTCACTTACAGACAAAGAACTGTTTATATGATTTGATCATTGTTCTTAAAACTGCAGTGTTTCATTCTCTATCTTTCAACTCGGAGACAAGTCAGCATTTACGGAGTTTCTTTTTTATGAAAGCACTTGCATGCTCTGTTGTTGACTGAACAGCTGACAGAACAAGGATTTTCATCCAATCTGCCATAGCAGGAACAGATCAACAGTTTTGGTATCTTCACAAAAACAGATGCTCCCAAGTATTTTTCCATAAAATCAGCTAATTAACTGCTTTAATTATTAAAGAACCCTCTATTGACAAATTATAAGTACAACTAGCCAGAGAACATCCTGAATATTCAAATCTTTCTTTTTAGACTACAAAATAACAAGTTCCTGAGAAAAGATGTATGCTGTCTGACAAGAAAACAATTTTAAAAGCCCCCTACCAAGTAAAAACTCTTGCTCATTCCTGAGTTAATTCTATTGACATGAATTTAATGAGCACTGTTTACTTGCCAGAAAATTAAACAAATAACAAGCACCGCTTTAGCAAATCACTAGCTTGCTTAAGTGTTTTTCATGAATTAATCCTTCTTTGTATAAATGTAAGACAGTAAAAAAGGAGATCTTGAAACCAGTAATGACATCTGTGAGCTTTTTCTGTGTGTTCCGCAGTGGTAAAACACTGCCAGGGACTATGGCAAGAGGAAGGGTTGCCATGCAGACCAGCAAAACAGCCCTCTGAAATGGCATGCTGACCCACTTTCAACTACCAGCTCTTGCCGACCCTTTGTTGAGTGAAAGGGTTTTTCAGGTTTTTGCTGTTTTTCACCCTTTCAGTTCTTATTTCTAAAGCAGCCAACCTGTCTTTCTCTTTATTCTTGTTTTCCTCTTTCTCCACTAATATGCACTAAAGAAAGGTAGATTGTTTCTTGTGACTGTCTGCTTTAGATAATGAAAAAAGTCTTCCACTCCCTCTTAAGAACATGCTGTGGAAGAAACAAGGATCTTTTCCTGATTTCAACAAAATTATGATACAATTTCTTGAGGAACTCAGTCTGATCAGAGTAGTTCATCTACGAAAAACCCTACTTTAATTGTTACTCTTGGCAATAGCAAAAGATAGTAGTGTAATATTACACCAAATATTGCCACGTGCAATAAAAAAACCTCTTTCAGTCTTGCCAGCAGTGGTGTGCAAATCCCCTTTTGAATTCAGGTTCGGATGTTGTGATTTAAACGAAATCTTTTGCTTCTCCTTCTTCCAAAACCAACAGGAGTTTAAAGAGAGATGTATTTTTATTGGAACCATGTGCTCAGCCTAAGTTGCCAAAATAATTTAGCTAAAACTAATGCTTTTATTTGGGTTAAGGTTGATTCCTGAGCTGTGCAGAGGTCAAGGCATTTAGCTCATCTTACTTTTTTTCAATTTCACCATAAAGTCTACACCAGAGTTCAGCCAGTTCAAGTTGTTTTTCTTGAATCCAAGTTACCAAGTCGAGCTTATGGATGTAAGTGACTTTTCATGAGTAAAGTGAGTGGAGACAAAACCTTTTTTCACCCTTTTTCTTTACTATATATGTTACAATGCATAGAACAATTATTCCAAGGATACAGAATAAGCAGTGATTCAACAGTGCAAGTCCTGCTGCCAATGCTGCTGCTGCTGTGAGACCTGTCTTTTGGTAATGAGTGACAGCTGCTGTGAAATGACTCACAGGGTGTTTGCCTCTCTTGGGCAACAAGTAGAAAAACAAAAAAAATACAGAATTTTGGAAGTAAGATACGAAAAAATAGCTGTGCTTTATGTTACTTGAAAAGTGTTCTTTGACCTTCATATAGCTTCAATAAACTGATAATAGACTCACAATCTCCTGATAAAACTTTTAAATCCTGGGAGATGTTTCACAATAACAAATACTGTAATGTTATTTCAATTAAGGAACTATCTATTTATGTATTTTGTGTGTGGGCATGCACTTGTAAATGGCATCAAACCAGGCCCTTGAACATCAGAACCTTCACATTACTAGAAGGTTCTGATCAAATGTCCATTTCTAAACACATTTTCTGTAGTTAGAGACTGGTTTGGATCCAAAAATAAAAAGGTTTTTTTCTTTGTTTGGTTTCTATGCCACTGCAGCAAAAATGTCATAGGTCAAAACTATATATTAAAGATTCTCTACATTAGCAGTGCCTTGATCCAAAATAGATTAAATACAGGCTTCATTTTTAAAGTGAAACCAGGGCAAAGACTTGATAACTTGTATATTCCATTTTTCTCTCAGAAGATCCTGGCTCAAACAGATCAAATCTCATCTTATAAGAGGTATTTCAGTATTTTGTGGAGTTCTTATGAAAAGAGAACCAGAAATAAGTCGTTCCAGGGTTTCATTTAGGATGCAATACAAATTGAAAATAGTAAGAATATAGTGAATGGGAATCAGAAGACAAACCGTGCTGAAATAAAATGTACAGATTCAAGGTTCCATTTTAACCCACTCTGAAAATATATATCCTAGAACTGAAAACATGTTTTTTAAGATGTAGCTTTTATCAAATTTATAAGATAGTACAGAATTTTAGAAAACTACTACATGATTACCTGTCCCATGAAAAGTCATGACAGCTCAAAATTAAATTTTATCCAAAATATGACAGAGTTCTTATATATAAATGATGTAAGGTTTATTGTATAAAAATGAAATTTGATAATACTGTTTCATCATTTTAAATTGAAACTGCCAATAATTCTGAGTGAGAATATGGCTGGAATTCAGAATTGCTGTATCTTCAACTCTACACTACTTTATCAGAATATCAAGTATAAAAAGAAAAATTAAACACCACTAATTTACTTAGTTTTCTGGCAGCAGAGCATGATATGAGACTGAAAGGGACTAAGATCAGACCAATGCATTTTGTAGTCAACAGTTTTGTGCATTAGTCATTCTAAAAGTTTTTCCTTGCATAAGGGAGGATAGGCCCCTTCAGATTGAGGCTGAAAGGTCTCAAAACTTTGCACAGCATAGTGTCAAACAAAAATATAAAATAATAGGTTGCTTGTGATAGCAAAGAAGAGAGAAAGCTCTCACCCTTATAACCAGCTGCATTGGTTTTCCAGTCATTAGCATTCAGATGTCCTGCACGTGAAGTTCTGACAATAATGTGCTGTACGTCTCTCCAGGTCAGAAATGGACTATGAAACAGGGGAAAGACAAAGCCACAGATCAGACATTTTACCAGGATGTAGGGATACAAGGTCATACAAGCTGAAAAGTATCCAAAGCAAAACAACTTTCATTATCTTCTCTACTTTCCTTTGGTCCATTCAAAATAATATGTTCCAATTTTACAGAAAACTTATATGAAATTATTTATACAACGGGGTGGCTTGCCATAAGCAGACTGTAACAATAGATGATAATATTCTGTTATATGAAACTTAAGGAAAGATGAATGAGTACATTTCATACAGAGGCAATTTTTATGACCACCAACTATCTTAATAAGTGCAAAAGAGAAGAAATCAAACTTCTGGCTTGCTGAAAAGCTCTACTAAATCTTACTAACTGCTAGCTCAAACTGGAGATTCCTCTAGACTTTCAGTTCCTATTGAAGCTATTGCAGGTGTCTCTGTTGTTAGTAATTCCCCTGTCCTGGAATTCACTGAGAGTCTGTGAGTATTTTGCAAGAATTCCAAGGAACTGGATGGTCTGTGAACTGCAGAGCAAGGACCTGATTGCACAGATGTGTATTCCTTTAAGGGACTCCTAATGCCATTTCTATCCTCATTGTAACATTAATACATATTTATCTTCTAGGACTAGGGCAAGTCTTAAGTGATTGCAGTTTTCCTGTTTCTTATATATCTACAACAAGGAGAATTTATTTTCTTAGAAGATGAACTAAAGGTGCCATCACTCAACTATTTTTTCTTTCTCCTTCCAATTTTTCAGTTTTTCTATTACCCGCAAGAAGATGAATAGCATTCTCTTTAAAAATGCAATGTAGTAAAAGATAAACTGAGCCACTAAACAACGAAGAGGAAAAAAGTATTGTGATGCAGAACACCAGGCACTAAGTACCATTCCCAGAGCATCATTATCTGTCCTTATTGCACACACTGCCACAGTTCCCCTCAGCTGAAGACAGATCAGAATGAAGTTTGGAAGACCCAGAATTGGCTGCCTACACTGCTAGGACTATGCAGTCATTGAAAACCAGGGAAACCTTGGTCCTTAAACCAGATTCTTAACATATTTAAATATTCTCTTGTATTTAATGAGAGCAGATGCCTTGTCTCACTGAGCATTTTTTAAAACATTACTGCGCCTATAGGTCCTCATTATGGTGCAGTTTCTCACACTAGGCTGCTGGACTAGAATGACAGTAATTGTTTATCCAGTTGGGCTGATAAAAAATTACTGAAAAAATAGGCACGGAATACAAGGCACAGTAAGGGTTTGTAAATTAGGATGCAGTTCTACATGTTACGTAACATGCTATAGCCTTTTAAACAACATAGCATTTGCCTGCACAACATCATTTAAATAAATTTCTAGCTCTACTTTACAATATCCAGTTTATATTCATGCTGCACCTCCACAGTTTCTGCAATGCATCCTGATCTCATGAGGCAGTATTGGAAGGCTTTGCCAGAGAATCTATAGCCACAGAATCACACAATGGTTTGGGCTGGAAGGGACCTTTAAAGGTCATTTAGCCCAAGTACCCAGCAATCAGCAGGGACATGTTCAACTAGATCAGGTTACTCAGAACCCTGTCTGAACTGACCTTGAATGTTTCCAGGCATGGGGCACCTACCACCTCTGTGGCAATCTGTTTCAATGTTTCATCACTCTTATAGTAAAAGTACGGAAAAAAAAAATCCATCTTTTGCATTATCTTTATATTGGTTTTTAGGATAAAATCCAGACAAGTTGTGATAGGACATGATGTATTCCTTTAGATGGATAGTGGGGTAGGCAGCTATACATCCACCAGCAACGGTGTTCTGGTGTCCCTGTGTCAAATTTGCAGTGCGCACAGAGATAAAAAATCCTAAGTGCCAAAAATTAAACAAACAATAGCCCAACTGCAGGCTGATAATGATGAAACTGGGAGGAGAAAGCCCCTGAGAGAAAGACATCTGACTTATATCCTTTATTGTGTCATCTCCAAAGGAACAACAAAATAAGACGATCCAAAAGACAATGCTCACAGTCTGCTTAATAACAGCATGGAAGAAACAGCAACAAAACCTTAGGTTAGTTGCTACTCTTAGAACCAGCTTGACTGTGAAGATGGGAAAGTTTACATCGTCTTAACTAAATAAAGGAAGCTATGGTTAGCATGGTACCCAGGGTATTGATTTGACCTATCTCCCATATTCAAAAGACTGAATACAGGGACACTGCAATTCAGTGAAACTGCTCCTCTTCCACCTTCCTCATTTTACTCCCACAAAGAACTACAGAAAAAAGCAGCTAAGATCCTTGCTCTCAAAGTGAACAGCCAGAAGCACCTCAAGAGTAAGTTCAGAGACTAGCCTCTAAAACCTGATGCAGGAAAACATTTGGACAGCCAAGAAACTACAGGGGTTAGAGCTGCTAAACTCTTTAAAAGTATCAACTGAGAGAATGCCAACTGAAAGCTTAAGTTTAAAGTTAAAGTTAAAGGCATTATCCTGGCACCAGAATAACAGCTATCCACTAGTTTTATTTCTAGCTGTTACTCCAAAGCATAGACACAGAAAAACTCAGTGAAGAAGTTAAAAATAATCACAATCAAACATTATTTATTTTTAACCTTGTTTGAATTTAAGAAATGTCTGAATGGAATTTTCTTAAAACCTTTTAAGTGCAAGTTAAATGGAGAATTTCAGCCTGAATGGTTATTCTTTGGCAAATTTATATGTAACTGAAAACATGAACAGGAACCAAAGTACACCCAAATCAATGTCAATATAATAATTGAAATTCTGTAAGTGGCATAGGTGGTTAAATCTCAAGAGAAAGATAGATTCTAAGGTAAGCACTTATTAATGCATATATATATATATATGCATTATATAGGTATGTTTTTCAAATACTTCAATATTCAGAGCAAACTACTCAAAAAATGCAAAGATTCAGAAGGAGATTTTTAACTCACACACTCTAGCATTGCATTCTATAACAGGCAGTCAATCAGTGGAGCAAAGATCTAGCCAAAGCTGATGTACTTAAATGATAACCTCTCCTCCTGCATTCGAAGTCTAACTGTAGAGGTCACTTGGCAGCACTTCCTCAATTCACCTCAGCTGTCTTGTCACTTTTAACCTCTGACTATATTTATGAAAAAGCCCTCTTAACTTTGATAGCACAGAAATATCTTTTCTGTATCCAAAATTGTACCTTGCTAGACAGAGCATTGCTCTTCTCCTTTCTGTGAGAAAATCAAATAGTCTGGGAAGTAGGCAAAAACTGTTCAATTGCCAGAAATCCAAAGTATCTATCTGTGACACTGTTGACCCCTTACAATATGTACTCCATTTTCCTCTAATCTAACTGATTGTGGTATTGTCTTTTGGAGGAATGTGGTACACTGTCACTTTTCTGTCACTAGTATCAGAATTCACTAAAATTCTTTAGTTCTCCTCCCAGCACTACCTTGTTTTAGCCTTGGCTTCATGTAAAAAAATGCAGGAAGGAGGACGACAGAAATTATTAGAGGGATGAAGCACCTCTCCTTCGAGGAAAAGCTACTTTCTTTCAGAGTGGGTTTAGATTAGATCTTTGCTGGTAGGGTGGTAATGCACTGGCACAGGATGACTTAAGAAGTTGAGGTTGCCCCACTCCACAAGGCCAGGCAGGATGGGGATCTGAGCAACCTGGTCTAGTGAAAAGAGTTTCTGCCAATGGTGAGGGGTCGAAACGAGATGATCCTTAATGTTCCTTCCAAATGAAATAATTCTAAGATTCCATATCATTCAAATGAAGAGAATCATGGAAGAAAACAGACTCTTTCCACGGATATATCACTGAGTATACTACACAGTAGAAAGGTAGCAGGCTAATACTTCCATTTCAGTTGCTAGTTCTTACTAATGAAACTAGTTTATACACCACATGCTGGAAAATATGCATTGGCTTACAGACAGGAACACACACTTCAATTGGGGATGAATAATGTATTCTTCTGTAAGTAACATAGGGGTTTTTATTTGAATTTTGCTTCTTCAAAGGAACATGGTACAATGGTCGCTGGAACAAATGCAGGACCACTGTCTCTCCTGACTCTGATTTGCTCAAATCCAACCATTTTATCACTTAGAAAAGGTATTTCTGCTAGCAACAGTTGATGGTACTATGCAATGAAAATATTTTTAGTAAGAAAATTGCTGTCTCTGTTCACTAAATGTATTCTTCTTATTTTCTCTTTACCATGAGAAAAAATTGACATTATGTAATGACTAAGTGCAACACACAAGCAAGCATTTATTCATAGGACCTGATCAAGGTACTAGATACACTGGGAAACATTCAACTGGGTACAACTGGAAAGCAATTTACTACCTAAATACCATAAGAAAACTGCAGAACATGAAAATTAAGATATGTCTTTCTCTGATAGTTGTTGCATATTTACAACCTGGCATTACAGCTCCAGGGATTCCAAACAAGCACTCTGAAACTCAGCTACAATTCTTTAATTCCTGATGGAAAACATGCCACTTTGATACACAAATACTAGATCAAAAGTAATACAAATGTGTTCACATTATGCATAACAACATCCTCAAACAATTTGTTACCAGTAGAAGCAGATCCCTGTTGGAAGAAATGGCTAAGTGGAGGGTTCAAATCAGTAGGCAGGTAAGAGATCCTCCATCAACTATTTGCCAATCCTACCATATGGGGCTTGTCAAAGAAAGTGCAATGTTGCAGTGCAAATCTGTCGTGCCTTTTGTTGTTGTTGTTGTTGTTTGGTTTGGTTTGGTTTGGTTTGGTTTGGTTTGGTTTGGTTTGGTTTGGTTTGGTTGAATGTACCTTCATGTGTGAGTTGAAACAACCTGTTGGCTGTTCTAACTTACGCCCCGGCCATATCAGTTCTCTGTTCAACTCATGATGTCTCCTAGGACTAGGACTTGGCTACTGGGGAAAACTGACTTCCACAGAATCAAAACCCTTCCATGGTATAAATTTTGTTTCCCAGCACAACTGGAATAAAACTATATGCTATTACAAACATAGTCAAGAAGTGTTCAGGACTAAATGCTCTAATTTTTAAGCAGCTTGCTGTACAAAGAATGTAACTAACCTTGCAAAACCCTTTTCCAACTTGTCTTTTTAAAAAATCTCACATAAACACTGCATTAGCAGAGGTACTAATAGGGAATTTAAGGATGAATTTATGAAAATGGAAACTCTGTTTGAATCAAAATAGTTCCAGTAAGCAGTTACACTAATTCACAGTATCATGTGTCCTTTATATCCCATTTAAAAAAGTATTGCAGAAAATACTACATACAACACAATACTACAATGACTTCAAATCTTCTTTTTGGGAACTTTAATTCCTCACATTTACTTGGGGTCACCTAAATTGGCAGGGATCACAGGTGAAAAATATATAATTACATAAATAAGAAATTCAGAAACAGCATAAAAGAAACTAAACAGATTCTATACAAGCAAACCCCAGATATTAAAATTTAATAGATCACAATATGATCTCCCTTTAATACTAAAGGCTTTACTTCATAATCTGTAATGTCACAACACCAAAGATTTCTCCAAATTGGTAAAGAAAACCAGCATGGGAAGCCACAGCATAAGTACTATTTTCCTCCCTAGATTCTCTCTTTTTGACTTTTTTTTCTGTTTCATTTAGTGGCTGTGGTCAGCAGCAGTGGCAGATTTTAAGTACACATAAGAGAGAGAAGTTCATGAATGGAATACAAATAAAAAACCCCACATTTATGATATTATTAATATAATCGATCTGTATCTACTCAAATACACAGGCTAAGATCTAGAAACAGAACTTTCCATTTAATGAAATGGAACAGGATCTAAAACGAGGCAAAATCAACATATTCAACTTTTTAGTACCATGCAACAGAGTACTACAAATGAAAAAGAGTTATTTGCTAGGATATTTAGTAACTAGTACATTTTGTCTCCATCACCACATATAAAAGCTTTAACATAGTCTTGTCTTCATGTTTATTATAGCAACTATTAGTTTTGAAAAAAAAGGCCAGTCCGTACACATTAATTTCCCACTGGTAGAGTCACTGAAGGCCAAGTGAAAAAAGCGTAAGCTTCTCAGTGTGTTTTAAGATGTCACAATCAGAAATAGCTTTGTTGTCAGTCTTATAAGATACAACTTTTCTCAAACTTTCAATTACAACAAAACAAAAATAATCAATTACCAATTTCTGTTCATTAACTGAGAATAGTGAGAAAAACTTAGAGCAAGCTGAAATGTACACACACTGAATCTTATCTGCATTTGCAGATTGTTTGGAATGAACTTAAGGATTTTAAAACTGAGATTAAGAGGAGATTTAAAAGTTTAAAAGCCACCACAATAACATTATATTAACTTTTAAAAATACCTTTGTTTCTGATAACTGCATAAAGAAAACACAATTATAATGACACAAGTGCTGCACTACTTAAGATTGTCAGGTCTTCAATTTGAAACTCTTATTCTTATGCTTGTAACTAAATAGCCAAAAGTATTCTGTGCTGAATATTGGGTCAAGGTATCATCAAAAAAAGCAAACATGAAAGATGGAAACATAATTTTAGTGTGATGAACTAATGCACTTTGAAACTACTATTGTGTGCAAATTTCTTACTTCCTTCAAAGAAAATGGCTGACCCAACAGGGAATTAGTTTTCTTCAGATTTCGTTTTCTTCAGAATTCCTAGATTGAACTTAAAAAAGAACTTAAAACACTGAGCAGGATTTGGGGTGAAGAATTTAATCTTAAATCTGTAGGTATATCCAACAGAGTACAAAGCAATGCAAAATGTTCTGAAATACAGATTTACCTGAACATCTCCCACATTTCTGCTGCTCTATGAAGCACATTAGCGATACATATTAGGCATAAAAAAGAGAATCATGCAGTTGAGAAAATGCTTGTAAGACAGGAAATTTTTTGAGCTAAAGGTGCAAGGAGACTATGGAGCTACACTATTCATGGTTTTTAGAGCTGAGGAACATGACCCGTATTAAAAAACAGACTTGTGTCAGCGTGCAGAAGTTGAGATTTTATTTTTCATACTAATTAACTTATGTTCAAGTTAACCTAACACTTCCCAAAACCTCTTTCAGTGTTCAAGAACAGAAATTGCTAAGAGGAGCCTGGTGAATGAAGAAGGTGACCTACAGTACCCTGCAGTGCTCAGAAGATCCAGGCAGCCTTCTGAGCAAACTGTAAGATGTTGTGAGGATACTATACATTATTCAATGGAAACCACCTGTGCTCAACACTGTTTCATGTTACTTTGACACTGAGTACTCTGTCAGCATCTCCAAAGTATCAGCTTTCCCTCACGTGAAGTAAGCATGGAGATCTTTCCTGCCCTGAGGAGGTTACTGTGTATTATAATAAAGGTTCCAAAGCACTGTGTGATGTCTGCATAAAGGTACTGGATGAATGAGAAATATCTTCCTGTATGCTTAATTTTTTTTTTTTTTCAGAATATATCTCAGATCTTACTTTGCTTCCAGTGCCAGGGCAATGATGCCTGCAGCCATAGGTGCAGAGGCTGAGGTTCCAGTATGGCTGTCTGTGCAACGCTGCCTCAGGTCCGTAGTAATCTGGAAGAAATTGGATGTGTGAAATTAGAACACAACTTCAGAAATCAGAGCATGTTTCATTTACTTGAATGAGTCACATGTATATGGAGAGTATTTTGTTCTTTAATTGCATGGAAAGGAAGACACGTGATGTTAGATATTCTGAAGTTAAAGTCACTTGTGAATTTAGACAGTGTTCTCTATATTGCTTCATGGCATGATCAACAAAGACACTTTTAAACCAGAAAACCGTGCAGAGGGGTTCAAAACTGCACAGCTGCAGTTCTGCCCTTCTATTTGGATTTAGAGAGAGGTTTCCCTCCAGGAATCTCAAAGTGCTTTACAAATAGGAAAGAACTACATCTTAGGTACAGACTGCTTATGACATTTTAGAGACTATACAGAAGTATGGAAGGTTTGATTAGGTTGCCTGAAGTCACACTGGAAGAATGTGACACAAGACAATACAGTTTGGCTCATACTAAGTACCCTGTTTAGTCTTTCGTTCACTCCTTATGCAATAAATCACATGACATTAAGCAGTAATTAACTGGAAAACCCTGATGTGATCACGAATTTGGCCTAGCCATCACCAGCCAATTAGTTGTTTTCAGTTTTAAATTGTCTTATGTATAGATTTGCCTCCATACTTTTATATGTAATCTTAGTGAATGTATAAACTGTAATGTGCAATACCAACTAGACACACAGCCTTCTACATACTGTTAGGATATTTCTATCCAATAATGAATTTTAGACAGGTGCTTTCCGTAAGAATGTAAATCATGCACAAAAATGTGTTCATTCTAGATCTTGCTTCTTTCAGGCAATCTAAAGTGATTCTACTCTTTGCTTGTCTTCCTGAAGAAGTGGCTCTTTGCAGGAGCAAGGCAGCAGAGGTAGGATGTCACTACTACCTAGCAGAAACTCAAGCAAAACCGATGCTTGAGACTGGAGAGCAGTTGTTTGAAGACAGCGGTCAACAGCAGGGAAACCTTGATGAAGATGAATGATATGTGATGTCAAAACTTATTCTTAGAATTTCAGCCAATGCAAGATATTTTATATCTCTGCCTGAGGGGCAGAGGACAAGTTGTTTACATAACACTTTATCTAAGTACATGGAATTATTGTGTTTTAATTCACAAGTATTCTACCTTATTTCCAACACAGATTTGCACAAAGATGGGAGAAGGAGAGGATCAAAAAATCACAAGAAATTACAGGGTATGTAAAAATGCCTGTCTAGCTTTGAAACCTCAAGAAACATGAAATGTGATCTGAAAAACCAGCTGCATCCCATCTGGGCAGAATATAAGCAAACACAAGCAAGAGGTATATGTTCCACTCTTGATGCTAGCCATATTCAGCATATTACTGATTTGTATAAGGCCAATGGAAACTCTCACAACATATAAGCATTTACAAGTTAACACAGAAGATTTCTAACAGAAAAGGCAGCTAACAGCACCAAGAAAATATTGAAAACAAGAAGAGATCAAATGAAACAATATGGAATTTTCTGAAAATTGAAAAAGACATATGAAAGCATTTATAATGTCAGATCCTTAAATGAATGAACTTACCAGAGGCTTTCTTGATTAATGAAGTCTAGAAAGAACTTTTTTGCCTCCTATTATTGAATATTATTCATTGATGCATACCTTTTAAAATAATTTCTTCTATCTGTCATTGGCTAGAAGTTGAAACCCCATAAGTATAATGTAATGTAATGTAATGTAATGCAATTTCTTCCTTTCTTGCTCTCTTGCCTACTGACTGTCTATTCATTTATGAAAATTACCAGTGTTGGGAAAAGCTTTAAGCATGGAAATTGCATAACTGCTGTGACAATATAAAGAGATAAAACTGCAGCAGGAAATGCATTGCCTATATGTGCAAATTCAAGTAGTGATTTTCCGGGTGAAATTACGATGTCCAAGTACTAGATGATGACTTGCACCTAGAGATATATAAGATACAGGTATCCCATTTGGAAAATACTGGTCAGGGCTGTGGCAAGGACCAGAAGGAAGACCAGGAAAAAGAAAGGGTGAAAAATATGTATTTCGTATCCTGGTACTTTATGTCCTGCATAAAAGTGGTGCAGCAGGTGCTTTCCTTGGAGGACCAAAGGTAGCAAAGCATCCAGGAGTTCAGGTAGAAAAAAGTGTTGTCATAGCAGCTTTTCCCTAAGGGACAGCCTCTGTCAATACAGTGAAAACATACACTGAATCGTGCTATCCTTGTTTCTCATCCTCTGGAAGAGCATCCTTCCAGACTGATTTTACTGTCCTGTCACTACAGCTATCAAGCACGATAAGCCATGACGTATCTTTAATTGGCAATATTGTCCCTCTTGCTCTAAGTGGATACTGTGGCAGCAATTTGAACTACAGTCTCTTATCTTGCTTTCAGCAGATACTTCAGCTGCAAATGTGTTGAGAAGGTTTTGTATGTATAAATCCCATTTAAGGTACTACAAAAGAAAGTTACTGACTGGAGCTGAGACATTTAAGTGTCGGTTACCTCCAAGATCTGAGGCATGTTTTTCAGCACTATGGATTCACTCTCAGAGAACTGTTGCATATACCCCAAGAAAAAATGGTGATCACCAAGAGGTGAGCAAATTTCAAGAAGAAAAATGATGCCCAAATTTCTGAGCAATATAAAAGCATCATCAATCACAATAAAAGGATGTCGTGTTTGATAGCACCATGAAGCTGCCATTAGTGTATATTAGCAATCATTCTGATTGTTAGGGTAGGGAGAAGGAGAAATTTAAAAATCTTTCATTGATTATTATAACACAACTGCTGATCTGTGAAAATGCTGATCCAACTGCCCAAGAAAAGTCCATGAGTTATAACAATATCTAAATAAGCTGAATCAACTAGGTTTGATTGAAGACAATGACAATGTTTCTGGTTCTTGCCTAGTTTTATCAACATGAAATTAGTCACAGAGACCCTGATGAAAGGCAGACAGAAATAATAAAAATCACCACAGTGCACTGTAATACTTCCCATAGGTATTGTGCAGTTTCCAGAAAAACTAGGCATTTATTAAAAGAAAAAATCTAGACACGCTGTAACAGTTTTACAGAAGCAACTTGCTCTCTGAAGGAGATGCCATTGTCATTATTAAGGCTGAAGCATCAATTTCTCCATAGTTTTACCAACCAGGAAATTAATGCATAAAGTAAGAAATAGGATTTCTCTTGGCAGAGAGCAAGCTCACATACCCTCTCCCAAGCCTCTGCATTTCTTTGAATTTCATATTTCATGACATGAGTTTTCTAAACTGATTGAATAATTTTTACCTTCTGCTACAGTTCTTCAAGGCATATTGATTTCTGTGAATCTGTGTCCCTAGAAGTGAAAAGATTTTAACAAAAATCTATTCTACATTCTACACAACCTATGCACCTGTATGTACCCAGAACAGAAGATATCACATTGTGCCCTGTGATTATCTTGTGCATATCTTGATAACTTGAGTGAGTTTCTGAAGGAGATGAGGTTTTTGTGTTTCAAGAACTGGCAGAAGATAGGATAGGCTTTTTTTGTTGTTGTTTCAGTTTTAAGTTCTACTTAGAGTAGAAATTTATCAACAGGAAGAGAAAGAAAATCATCAGATGAATTGCTATTTATCAGAAAACAACAAAACAGGTGAAACATTAGGTAGACAGGGTGTTTTTTAGTTTATATTTTTGTTTCTATATATAGGTTATTTATTAATAGGCTTATAAATTGTATCTATGAGAAACTTCCTGATGTCAAAACCTTAGTGTGAAATCATTAAAAAAAAATTCAAAGGAAATGCATTTGTGCAGTATATTTGATAATTGAAAGAACCATATAGATATTACATGATGCTTAACCTATCCTAGCCACATGGTCTGGAGGGAGACACTATCTTTAATCATTGTCCTACGGTATTCAAAGTAGCAAAGAAGAGAATAATGGGAAAAAATACCTTGACAACTGCATATTATTAGCCAATACTTCTGTACTCATTGAGTTATGAGAGGTAACATCTATAAAGAAGTGTAATTTCATAGTCTTTACCTACTGCTGATTTGTCTCTGTCCCACAGTATGAGTTTCTATACCTGTAACTATGCCAGCACTTTGCAGCTGCACTTGAAAACACCTAAAAGTAATTCTAGTTCTTTTCCAAAAGAGGCTATTTAAAGTCATACATCTCTCGGCATCTTTGGAATATTTGCATGCTTTGAGCATTTTAATATATCTGAAGGGTGGAAACTTGGTTCATAAGAAGCTAATTATCACTGCAATAAAACTCAGTAGAGTATAAAGTCAAGAGCACTTGGTGTACCTTTCTAAACAACAAGGAATTCTTTCAAGAAGGTGAGTCTACCTGTAATTGTTAGCTTAAAATATTTTAAGGTGTCATTGTATAAGACAAGAAAAGACCTCCAAGACTAGAGAAACTTCTAAAATTATGTTACATCTTATATTTTTAGCAAGCAATAATAAAAAATGAGTAGTAATGAAAAGAGAAAAAAAAGTGGTTTGTATAGTTATAAAAGTGTTTGTGATTCTACAAACAATCCATATTGAAATCAAATAATTTTTATAACGATTTTTAGTCTACAGAGTGAGTTTCTAATACTTGGTTACTGTTTGTTCATTTACCTTATAAAACATTCTGCAGTTACTGGACAGAAAAACAGAGAAAAAAAAGTAAAAAGAAAGATATTCAGCTAAAGAATTGCAAGAAAAAACAGGAAGGAACTGTGGAACATGACATTATACAACTGTAACCCATTCACTGTTCCTAAGTCTTGGGTAGGTATTTCCGTACTACAACACTGCAGAATCTGACATGGTACTGAAATCTGTGCTGTGTTACATGAAAAAAAAAATGTTTATTTAATGTTGGTTGTAAATCCTATGCCAGGTCACTTCTTCCTGGTTTACTGCTGTAGTATTTTTGTTTCCTATTTTGAATGTAGAAGTCTCACTCCAACATACAAAATCATCTTATCATCTGATCAAGTATTGTTACTCTTCAGATTCTGGCATAGAGTTGAGCCTACATTGTTTGTCACCTGCACATAAATTTATATGCATAATAGAATTTGGATAATTTAATAATAATCTTTCTATTCACCCTGTATTGTCATTTTTCCCTTTAAACTTGCTGCAAGCTCTCAGCTTCTTGTGGAAAGATATGAAGACAACCTCTGACTCAAAAGAAGCATCAGTTTAAACAAAACTGTGAGATACGATGCAGTGAAGAGGATGTATGGTACAATAATGAAAACAAATACATATAGTTTCTAGACTTTTCTGGCACTTTTCTAGCAATTTACAGCAGTTTAAAAAACTTAGTATTTGAAATTTTAAGTTCTGTCTTGAGTTCACTTTTTGTTTCAAATAAGACCTCTTTCCAACATAAATTATATTTTATAGGAATTTAAGAGGACTGAATTTTGGTAGACAAGCTGGAGAAGACCAATACAATGATTAATGCTCTTAAAACAGACTATTTGCAAGACAGTCTCACAGGTAATAGCAATATTCCTGTCTTCATGTGAGAGTATGTATGGTGAAAGGACTTCCCAACAATCAGTTTGAAAAGCTGGCTTCACAATTTCACGGAACTTCTTGCTGGGTTGTAGCATAACAGAACCATATAGCTATCCCTTATGTGGATAACTGGTTTACACACAACACAAACAGAAGCTATTTATCTCCACTATGCTGTTTTACTTTGCCATTGAAACTATCTGGAGGGGGAACAGCCTTGTATGGCATTAAATAGCAAGCAGCACTAGTAAAATATGGAATAGTTGTGTGTTTCAGAAGTCAATTGATAATATAGTACTGGAAAAAGAATCTTGGTAGGAATTTTTGTAGTCCAATTTTCAAGCATTTAGGGTCAGTGACTCTGCAAGGGCAGAGTGCACATGTAAGTGCAAGGTTGCTTTGCACAAGCGTAGTCAATGATAAATTATATTCTGGTAAACAAATGGTCAACAGACCTGGGTTAATTCTTATGGCTCCTCAGACTTATGCTTTTGCCATTCACTGTGCAAAATGATGCACACTGTAGGACTAAACTAAAACTGACATATGGAACTGAATTGCTTTGAAAAGAATGGAGGATCTGACTAGTAAAAACAATCAGTGCTGATAGAATTCATGCAATTAAATTAAAAATTATTTTTACTTATCGCTCATATTCAATGTGAGAACTCCAAGGGAGACTCTATTTAAGAACATTTTTAGAGGCATATTTTTAATTCTTTTCAATAATATTTATGTAAAATATCTTCCTTATTTTCCCAATTATGGGATAATTTGTGTACATTCTATATGCAATAATTATTATCTCCTTTGTAAGGTATACTTTTCAAAAATCTTACAATAAGAGATTAACCTGCCTGTATTACCACAGTGCAAAGTTCCAGAAGTGATGGGTACTATACTTCGGTAAACTATATGCTTGTGTTCCATGAGAAGTCTTTAATAGGTGAGATCACCTTCAGGTGTTTTTGATCCTAGTGCAAGACAAAAGGGAGTGAAATGTCAGAAATTAGAAATGTTCTCTTACTGAAACAGTAATTCTGTAAAAGCAGAAAGTCTGTGCTAATTGAAAAGAATGGATGATAGTCATCAAGAAAATTACAGCTGTTAAATCAGAGGAATGCACAAAGCTTAAATTAGTAACGTAGGAAAGTACAAATAAAGACTGAGAAGTACAGAGATATTTTACTTGATACTAAAAACATGAGCAAGGATATGAAGGAAGAGCAATCAATTACATTTGAAGATAAAAGATGCAGACAGGCAATAAGGAAAGACAAGATTAAATCGTGAAGCCTAAAAAAAATGCATAAGAATGTCTTATTTTCAAATACATGAGAAGCCAAAGAATCCCCAAACCAATACTGTTTTAATTGTCCAGAGATAACAGTTTGCAGTAAACAGCAATTTTACTGAATGTTTCTGTTTGGAAAAAAAAGTCTACATTAAATTTTCAGCGCCTACAGAGATGATAAATCATCTCCCTATTAATCTCTCTTTTAAATAAAAAATATAAATCTGAAGTATTGGAAGTGCCAAAGACTTTTACAAGAGCTGGAAAGGGAACTGCTCTGTTGTTTTTAGCAAATGTTTGAACACCGCACAAGTTCCAGAAGACTGACAGAAAACCTACATAGTGTCATTATTTTAAAAGGGTAAGCAATATTGTCCTATTAATGCCATCTATTTGCCACCTTTTTATCTAGTGTAAAATAGCTGATATAGGATTTAAACTAATTACTAATAGATTAACTAGCTAGTAGTATACTCAACGGTGGATAACATAAGATGTTGGAAAACAAAGCTTGCCAAAGTACTGTAATATTTTTTTCTAGCCACCACTTTGGCTGAGAGTAATATACTCAGGATTTTACAAGACACGTCATGTAATATTGCACATTTTGAAAAAAAAGGATTTAAATTTAAGAGATTAAAAAGTACATGATGCATAATACATTGATTTAAACTGAGATAAGGTCCAAGAATGTAAGCATGTACAAAAAATTAGAAGCAGAGAAATTATATATAATCTTATAGCCTATAGAAAAAATGAGTCTTGTTTCTAATCAGGTCTTCTACAATTTGGTTCTTAGCCAAAGCCTGACCTAAAGCTTTTATCAGAGACATGAAAGAAAACACCAGCCCCTTCTCATGAGTGTTGGAGAAATTTGGAAGATGACAAAGTGATGATGAGGGCTGGTCTGAAGTGAGTACTAAACCAGTCAGGTGTTAATGGTGGAATAAGGAGACCCTAATCACCCTTATATATTTCCTTGAATCACCAACTTCGAAAAAGAGAAGCAGCAGCTCTAAAAGTGGGATGAGTATTACACAGTGATGGACACTTTACATGATAGTGAAGCTAACAACTCTCAGTCAGGGTCAATATATAAAGAGAGAAAACTGACCTAGCATGCACAGACATCCAATTTCCCATGCTTTTGTCACTGAATACTGCTCTACCTGACTGGTGTGTCTGGTCTGGACTCTGGAAGCTTGTAACACGAAAAAGGGTTTATAAGAAAACAAAACTTCAACAGAATGATGCAAGAAGCTTACCTTCCATTATCAAAAGGGATTAACTGCTTGGGCTACATGGACAGAGAGAAGACAGGCAACTGGAGTGGTCTTCATACTAGCAATAAAATCTGTGACACCAAATGCTTAGAAATAGAAGCTAAAGGGGCTCAGAGAGCAAACAAAATAAATCTTTTAATGACAATGAATAATTAAAAGCATTTACACTAAATTTAAGTGGATTTTTTGTCACTGAAAACTTTGAAAGCAACATTGATTGTATTTATAAAAATTGTTGTTGACTTGACAGCAACTGCTGGATTCAAAGGATTCGGGGAAGTCCTGCAGACTTGGCTAAGTAAAAGATCACACTGGAGGACCATAGTTGCATCTGCTCAGCTTCTAAGTCTCACTTAAACATTAAGAGGTTAGAGAACATCCATTAAAGGACAGTGAAGGGAATTTAGTCACAGAAGTGAGAACTCCTAGCAGATACAGTAATTGTTTTATTTATTATTATTTATCAGGAATAACAAGAAACACGTCAGGAAGAGAGAGAGGCGGCTTCAGTGAAGAGAAGCAAGTGAACAGAAAAACCATTGGAATGAAAAAGGATCTCAGAACAAGTTTAAAACAAAAATTAGACCATCTGAAAATAACAAGGAATCCACGAAGGGATGGCCAGTATCCCAGAATCCTGAAAGACAAGGCAGACAGTATTAAAAAAAACATAGAGGCAAATATTTTTAACTCCTTATTGACACCAAGAGAAGAATCTGCTAAGGACCAGAAAGAAATAAATGCTAGATGAATCCTTAAGAAAACATACGGAAGAAAAGAATCCCTCCAAATCCTTCAATTTTCTGATCCAGAAGTGATAAATTTCTGGCAGTTAAACACTAGAATAAGTAAGCAGGGAAGAGGACAATATTAGCAAACCTCATCAACCTGAGTACAAAGGTTTAAAAGGTTAAAAGGAGTAGAATGTTGAATACTAGAAAATATCCTGAATGCCTTCATTTTGCAAAGGGACATAGAATGTACAAATACTAGTGATATCAACAGACTATCAAACAGAATTAAAACTATTTGTCATTTTCCAGCAAAGATGAGAACATTAGGGAAAATAGATGCTGGCTTAGGAATGAGAAGAGAAACAATACAGAAAAGATTCGTACTGAGTCTACTTTTCCTTACAATATATTTCCAGAATAGGCAGCAATATGAGTAATAACTGACTGGCACTGAACGTAAAAGAGAAATGATGCTGGGTCAAAACAAATCTGAGAAAATAGAGAGGTATCTAGGTAAACTGCTAATATGAGTGTAAAATGTGAAAACTATTGATAACTGGATTTAAAACAAATGGAAGATATTAGTATAAATGTTTTCTCTTTCTCTCCATCCCCCAAAGTCACTGTGCAAAACACAAACACATATACATGAAAAAACAATTAAAGCCCATACTATTTTCCTGTCATAGGATTCTCCACTGCTGTATGTTGTAGCTAGTGTGGACGCACATTCTTCCAGATACCACGGCTTTTTTCCACTTTCAGCTGTGCTGCTTATGGAGATAGTGTAGATGCTGTTGGTGTAGCCATCACAGGAGCAGTGGTCTCGACTTCTTCCACCATTTCCAGATGCCCAAACAAAGACTGAACCTAAGCCTCTTCGTCCCTGTTTGGAAACAGTATGAAAGATTTGATTAATAATTCTTCTTTTTTCCCTCAGCTGCTTAATAGCCAGGTTTTTTCCCCAAAAAAGACATCTCATGAGGAGAAGAAAATAAAATAACAACTACCCTGAGAAGAATTTGAAATGAGAACAGATTTAGCAGATTTCTGAATCAGACATTAGAAAAATTGAGAAAAAGAGTGGTATGAACATAGCTTTAGAAACAACTTTTATACAGTGTTTGTTGGTCTGCATCTATGTTATGTAGATGTACCAAGAAAGTCATGCTGAAAACTCAGATGAAGCAGTAAAATATACTGGGTTGGCTTTCTGGGTTGCAAGCATACATTGCTGGCTTATGTCAGCCTCTCATTCACCACCATCCCCAAGTCATTCTTGAGTCCTTCTTGGCAAGACTATTTTTGATCTGTCCGTCCCACAGCTTGTATTGACATTGGGGATTGTCCCGATGTAGGTGCACCACCTTGCATCTGGTCTTATTAAACCTCCTAAGATTCCCATTGGCCCATTTCTTGAGCTTGTCCAGATACTCTGGATGGCATTCCATCTTTCAAGAGTGTCAACTGCACCCCACAGCTTGGTGTCATCTGCAAATATGCTAAGGATGCACTTGATCCCTTCATCTATGTCATTAATGAAGACAGTAAACAACACTGGATAACAATATCAAGGTGGACTCCTGAGGGACACTTGGATGATGTCCATTGGACTCTGAGCCATTGACCACTGTCCTCTGGATATATGTGTCAACCACTTTCTTATCCAACAGTCCATTTATCCAATCCATCTCTCTCCAGTTTAGAGAGAAGGATGTTGTGGAGCATTGTCAGGGGCTTTACAGAATTCCAGATAAAGGATCTCTGCAGCCTTTCCCTTGTCCACTGACATAGTCACTCCATCACAGAAGCCCACTAGTTTGGTCAGGCAGGACTTGTCCTTGGTGAGGCTGTGCTGGCTACCCCAAATCACACGCCTGAGCAGAGCTTCTAGGAGGATTTGTTTCATGATCTTCCCAGGCAGAGAGGTGAGGCTGACCAGTTGGTGGTTCCCAGGGTCATACTTTCTACTCTTTGTAAGGATGGGTACAATGTTTCCCTTTTTCTAGTCCCTTGGGCCTTGACCAGTCTACTATGACTTCTCAATTATCATGGAGATAATTTGTGAGTTTAATAAAAGTATACTACCTGGAAGACTTTTCAGCCAAGTAAGTTAACTAGCAAATTGTCCTGACTAGTGTCTACAAAAAGTTACATCTCTAAAATGCAAATTTTCATTTAGAAACATTTCAAGCAGAGAGAAAAATCCCAAGGAGTGAAGTTCAATGTACTATGAAATCCACATTCTCCAAATCAATTTGAATATTACAGTTTTTTCACCTCCTTTTCTTGATCTTAGCTAATGCACCAACAGAAAGATGCAAAATAGCAACATTTCCCGTGTAGTGGGGTTTTTTTGTTTGCTTGGTATTTTTGGGTTTGTTTTTTTAGTTTTTTTTGTTGATTTTTTTTAACACAACCTTTATAAAGTGTTACAGCTCTCCTTCTCTACCTTTCTTCTTCACACACAGGTCTTGAAAGCAGTATTATGTAATTACATATGGCTAAACCGAAATCTGACAGGAAATTCAGAATAGCCACCAATACAACCAAGGTAGAAGAAATGAGAATTCAGGGTAATCAAGCCATAGCTTCCACTAAAAAAAAAAATTAAAAAAAAACTAAAAGAACTTCTCAAGAAGATGCATACAGAAAAATGTCCTACTAATAACATTTTTCTGCTATTACCATCAGATGGTTCTGTGTGCAAAAAGCAATTTAACATGATTTGTCCCATGAAATACAAACCTTTTCACTGCAGGATATGACTGCATTATTAGTTTATTTGCACAGAGAATGTGTCTCTGTTTCATTAGATGTACACTTATGCTGCTGTGCTAATAATGAACAACAAACTGCAGAAACAGGTGTTTGAATACTTTTTGGCCATAAAATGGTGAAAACATGCCAATGGATGTCAGAAATTCTGCATTTAAAATTTAAAAAACTATGAACATCCATTTAGATTTTTAACAGTAAGGGCAGGGCTTTAAAACTAATAGCCATTTGCACCTGGATTTACGTTCTCATGATAGTATTTTTTTTGTTAAACAAATGATGGCAAATATTTATTTAAAACTAATGTCTCCTCCAAATATGTAAAAGATCAATGTCTCTGTTATTGCAATAAAAAGTAAGTACCAGATGCACTGACCAATGGAAAAGAGTATTTTCTATATACAAAGTAAGAATTGCCATTCCTCTAATGCATTGCAATAATGCATATATAAGAGCCCAGCAGTACACAGAAAACAACAGCATTACCTTCAGATCAGAAAACACACTAGACATCTTGTTCCTAGACGTTATTTGGCAAAGCAAGTGGCAGTCTTAAAACAATAAAACAAGCAACCCTCCAAACTAATTCCAACACTTATGTTCAGGAGAAGTCTGGATCTGGTGCTGTGTGATATAGATGGTTTAGGTGCTACAGTGGTGTGGTAGGTGGAAAGTTGGGACTCACTGATCTTGAAGGCCTCTTCCAACCTTGATGATTCCATAATCCTATGGTCCTATGAACTTGGCTAAAATAATTTTTTAAGTAAATAAATTCTGGTTTACCATTTGGCTCCAAACACTGCTTTAATTCAGCAGTCCCAATCATGCTTAGGAAAATACAAACCTGTTAGTAACTGCCAAAAAGAGCATCAACTGTTCTACTGTATGTCAATGTTATTCCAAGTTGGTACCATTTAAATAAAGACAGTTAAATAATAGTTGGACTACATTACAAAGTTAAGATAAATACACATGCAAGGCACTATGTAGCTTTTACTGTTTATCTAAACCTATCATTTGTCATCTGCCAAGTGCCAAGGGTAGGTATCAAGACAAAAAGTCAAGCCTTGAGATGCCAAGAAGCCATGTGGCATTTATTAGTCACAAGCAAAGGTGCATTTACAAATCATACAGACAGAACTCGAGCAAAACTAAGTGTTAGTAACTCTTCTATATAAGAGGCATGGAACAGTGTTGAATGGATGTCTAACAAAGTATGCTCAATGCTTTTCTCAGGATTTTAAAATTTCATTCCCTCCCCTCCTGGCATAGAGTTATTTCTGCTCTTCCATTTGCAATGACAACTATGGACTGCCTCCTATAAACTCTGCACTGTGTTCATAATTCTGCATTTGTGCTTGTCAGTGCACCAAATCAGACAGCTCCTTTCTTCTAGCCTACTTTCTTAAATTGCATAAAATATCATATCATTCTTTTAGAAGATCAACTGTCCCATTATGCTAAAGAAAACTATTTCACTGATGACTGTGACTTGCTATTGACCCAGTCATGATCCAATTTTCTAGTACAATTTCTAGACAAAGCCAGTGTGCTCGACAGACAGATTAAATGAAATGGACTCAGGTCTTTTACAAAGAGGCCCCAAGGTGGAAATTGCACTTGTAAAAGCATAAAGAAGAATCTTGGGGCATTCTGGCTCTTATGTTTTTTTTTCCCTGCTAATGCCTCCTTTTTCTTGGTCACCAAGTTCCAAGCAGGTAAGTGATATGAAAAAGCTAATTTTTGATTTTTCCAGTTCACCAGCATGGCTGCTGACAGATTAAGTCTGCCAAGAATCAGAGCCAGTACAAACATGCTCATAATGACATCTGCAGAACCTCCTTATACTATTTACAGAAACATCCCCTGCTCCAAGTGTGTGTGTGTTTGTGTATGCACCACATCTTCATGAGTGAATGAATGAGCAGTACTGGCAGGGACCTTTATAAGGCAGAGGTCTTCAGACACTCATCTAAAGACAACCAGCAGTCCCACACACTTTTAAGTTGCTTACAGCACTCTTTAAAAATACTCTAACAAAAACAGTTTCCACCTACAAGATGTAATATGAGTCAGTGGCGTAAATTTTAATCACATTGTTTTATAAAGTTTAGACTTTACATTCATTCACTGCTTTACAAGTCAAGTTGCCTTAACCCAGCCTGTGAATTCTGATTACTTCCAGCCCAGGTTATTGGGAAGTGCCCCAGTAATCCCCTCTGCCTATGGAGTGAGTTACTGTCTTGATAGATGTCATCATATTTACAAAGGAACAAGGAAGAAAATGTGAAGGAGCAGGAGAGGCAGAATACAGAACAGCTGACCTGGAGTAATTAAGTTACACGGGTGGCAGCTAGGGAGAGGTAATTTGGTACCAATATGCTGGAAATTGCACACCGATGAGCAGAAAACAAACCATGAAAATATAAAATGGAGAAGGAGAGACACTCTATCCACACCTAGAGCCTAAACATTTAATTTCCTCTATTCTCCCTGGTACCATTCTAAAATTACTTAAGGTTTCCAAGAACAAAAATTACTAAATTACTGCCAGAAAGTGAAAATGATCCTGAAGTGGAAGCTGGAAAAAGTAGCCCATGGTATGACCTCTTCCTTAAAAACTAATTCCTAAAGAGGAAGTGTTCATTATTGAAAGTGCAGAACAGAGGCCAGTATTCTGGAGACCTAAACAGCCTACTATGCAGGCATGTTTTTTAGGTGCAGCATAGTACAATCACTGTAGTGCCAGGCACCATGGATCACAGCATCCTGAGAAATGCACCTGTGAGATACGTCCCCTTTCTTCCAGTTTCTGCTGAGTTCTGCACTCTCAAGGATCTGGATGCTGCTTCCCTGCGCAGAGACACAGCACTGCCAAGCTCTTCACTGTTAGGATTTTGCTTTTGACCAGTAGCAGCTCCTAGCTCCTGTTGAGTTTCTACCAGTCCATTTAATGTCTTATCTGGGAATGAAAAATAGTCTGGCACAACATCTTTAAAAGACTCTTGTAGACTGCACAGTACTGAACTTGAAAGTAAGCATCTCTCCAAAAACAGATAATGGTGAGCTGAGAGTCCAAGTCTGCAATTCTGAAATGCTACCAGAAGA